GATAAGGCCGGCACCGTGGCTCACTTGACTAATCCTCTGCCTGTGGCGCAGGCACCCTGGGTTCTAGTCCGGTCGGGGCACCGGATTCTGTCCCGTTTGCTCTTCTTCCAGTCCAGCTCTCTGCTGTGGCCCAGGAAGGTAGTGGACGATGGCCCAGGTCCTTGGGCCCTGCACCCACATAGGAGACCAGGAGGAAGTACCTGGCTCCTGGCTTCGGATCGGCATAGCTCCGGCCGTAGCGGCCATTTGGGGGGTGAACCAACGGAAAAGGAAGACCTTTCTCTCTCTCTCTCTCTCTCAACTCTGCCTGTCCAAAAAAAAAAAAAAAAAAAAAATTATGGACGTAGAATTTAAAAGTAAATTAATTTTGGGGGCCGGTGCTGTGGCGTTGCGGGTAGATACCACCGCCTGCAATGCTGGCATTTTATACGGGCGCTGGTCCACTTCCGATCCAGCTCTCTGCTATAGCCTGGGAAAGCAGTAGAGGATGGCCCAAGTCCTTGGGCCCCTGCATCCGCATGGGAGACCAGGAAGAAGCTCCTGGCTCCTGGCTTTGGATCGGTGCACCCCTGGCCATTGCAGCCATCTGGGGAGTAAACCAGCAGATGGAAGACTTTCTCCCTCTCCCTCTCCCTCTCCCTCTCCCCCTCCCTCCCGCTTCTCTCTCTGTGTAACTCTGAGTTTCAAATAAAAGTTTAAAAAAAGTAAATTAATTTTGATGCAAAAAAACTGAAATCCATGTATATGAAGATATTCAAATGGTTCATGTAAAGTACATATTATGAGAAAAAGATGCATGGATTTTTTAAAAACAATTTTAAACTTTAAAAGTTTTGTTTTAATTTTTAAGAAATGCATGGATTCTTGATATTGCTCATACACAGGGACTAGGATTCTATATCCTAGAAATGTACGGTTGGTTTAATAGTAGAAAGTCTGTTAGAGTAATTCCCCATATATAAAGAGAAAAAACAGTCATCTCAAGATGCTGAAAGGCACCTGATAAAGTGCAGTCATGATGAAAACCCTTAGCTGTTGGGGAACAAGAAGCTGCTTTCCCTGTCAGATAAAAGGTAGCTATAGACATACTAAAATGAAAGGTAGTTGGCCGGCGCAGTGGCTCACTAGGCTAATCCTCCGCCTAGCGGTGCCGGCACACCGGGTTCTAGTCCCGGTCGGGGCGCCGGATTCTGTCCCTGTTGCCCCTCTTCCAGGCCAGCCCTCTGCTGTGGCCAGGGAGTGCAGTGGAGGATGGCCCAAGTGCTCGGGCCCTGCACCCCATGGGAGACCAGGAAAAGCACCTGGCTCCTGCCATTGGATCAGCGCGGTGCGCCGGCCGCGGCGGCCATTGGAGGGTGAACCAACGGCAAAGGAAGACCTTTCTCTCTGTCTCTCTCTCTCACTATCCACTCTGCCTGTCAAAAAAAAAAAATAAATAAATAAATAAATAAATAAAAAGAAAGGTAGTATTTATTTCCTGGTGAAATCCAGAAAGCTTTCTCTCGAAGATCGGGTAAATGTCATGGATACTTGGATACCTGATAGCACCTCTTCTTCAACATTGGATTGTAATTCTTTGCCAGTGTACAAAGGTAAAAAATAAAAGAAGATATACAATGTACAAGAATTCAGGTGGAAGAAATAAAGCTGTCAGTTGCAGATGACATGGCTGTGTATTTAGGGGAAAAACCTGAATGTAAATTACGAGGAATAGTAGAACTTGGGAACAGTTAGAATTAACAAATTTTTAAATTAATAGGCTAGAGGTTTTTTGTTTGTATTTAAAAGATTTACTTATTTGAAAGGCAAAGTTATAGAGAGGCAGAGGCAGGGAAAGAGAGAGAGATCTTCCATCCATTGGCTCACTCCACAAATGGCTGCAACAGCCAGTGCAGGGCCAGGCTGCAGCCAAGAGCCAGGAGCTTCTTCCAGGTCTCCCATGTGGTTGCAGGGACCTAAGCACTTGGGCCATCTCCTGCTGCTTACCCAGGCACATTAGCAGGGATCTGGATTCAAAGTGGAGCAGCCGGTACATGAACTGGTGTTCATATGGGAAGCCTCCATCACAGGTGGTGGCTTAACCCACAATGCCACATTGCTGGCTCCATTAGGTTAGAGTTAATAAGAGTTTAGCAAGGCTATTTCTGAGTATATTGTCATGATGGAGAAATAATTAATTGTCATCAGAGAAAATAAAAGTTTAAAAAAATTGTTCTGTTTATAACAACCAGAAAAATTTATCAAATACCTAACAAATCTGATTAAAGGACCTCTGCATAGGCAGCCATAAAGCATTGAATAAATCTAAATACAAGGTGGTATATTATATTCATGCATTAAAAATAGTTTTATAATTTGTTTTCCTAAGATTGACTTTAAAAAAAAAGATTTATTTATGTATTTATTTATTTGAAAAGCAGAGTTACAGAGAGGCAGAGAGAGAGACAAAGTCTTCCATCTGCTGGTTCATTCCCCAAATGGTGACAACGGCAGGAGCTGTGCCGATTCGAAGCCAAGAGCCAGGAGCTTCCTCCAGGTCTCCCACGTGGGTGCAGGGGCCCAAGGACCTGGGCCATCTTGTACTGCTTTCCCGGGCCATAGCAGAGAGCTGGATTGGAAGTGGGGCAACCAGGACTCAAACCAGCGCCCATATGGGATGCCAGCATTGCAGGCAGCGGCTTTACCCCACTACGCCACAGTGCCAGATTGACTTTTTAAAAAGATTTACTTATTTTATTAGGAAGGCAAAGTTACAAAGAGAGAGGGAGAGACAGAGATCTTCTATTTGCTGATTCACTTCCCAAATGGCTGCAACCGGCAGGACTGGGCCATCTGCTGCTGCTTTCCCAGGTACATAGTAGGGAGCTGGATCGAAAGTAGAGCAGCTGGGACTCAAATGAGCACCCATACATAGTATGCCAGTGTTGCAGGTGATGGCTTAACCCACTATACCACAATACTGGTCCTTAGATTGATTTTTTTTAACTTCAGTGATAATCAAAACCATAACACTTTATTTGGTGGCAATTGACAATCAGATTGTAAAATTGTAGCTACACACAAAGGGTTGAAAAGAGCCAAAACAATATTAAAGAACAAAATAGGAGAATATACTCTAGTGGCTGTTGAGACTTAGAATAAAGCTAATATATTGTAGTGTTGGCAGAAAGATAGGCTTTTTTGGCCAGGAGGACAGAAACAGTCATATAGACATTTAATTTATGAAAAGAGGTAAACCTGCAACACTGTTCATAGCTGGTGCTGCATCAGTTGGGCAACCATATTGAGACAAATAGGAAATTTGCTGTATCTCACATCATAGGAATAAATCAAATCCAGTTGGATTGGAGATGTAAACGTGAAAGGTAAAATAATAAAGCTTTTGGAAAGTAATATGGGGTAATATTTAATGACCTTGGGATTGAGAAATATTTCTTAAACTGGACAGAGAAAGCATTAAATGTAGTGGAAAAGATTGCGAATTTGAACTAAATGAAGAACTATGTTGAGGATGCAAGTATCAGTGAAAAAAGGCTAGTCATGGAATGAGAAAGATGTCTGCAAAACAGATGATGAGCAGTGGGATCATATCCAGGATATATAAAAGACTCTTACAGATCTATGAATAAAAACTTGGACAATTCAGGGAAGAATGGGCAGGAGATATGTTTTAAGGAGATATTTACAAAAGAAGTTATGCAGCTACTGAATAAAAAGTGAAGGAAGTGTTAAACCTCAAGAGTAATCAAGGAAATGCAAACTGGTGTCACATCCACCAGAAATGCTAAAACAAAGACCAGTCGTACCAGTTGTGATGGTGCAAATAGGTGGAGCAGTGCAAGCTGTTGGATACTGCTGTGGAAGTATAAAATGATAGAACCAGTTTAGAAAGCTATTTGGAGTTGCCTATTTAAGTTGAACATAAATATGGTCTGTGATAGTTCTCCTCCTGGGTATAAGCCCAGCAAAATGTGTACCTATGGTTATCAAAAGACATTTTAATAGGATGTTCTTATCATCACTATTTGTAATAGCCCCAAACTGCAAATAATGCAGATGTTCATTAATGGGAGAATGGTTAAATAAGCACAATTTATATAAAGAAATCCATAGAGCAGTGAAAATGAACAAACCAAACTACATGCTGTGGGTGGCTGTCATGAACATAATTTTGAGGAAAAGAGGACAGATATGTTATAGTACATATTTTATAACCACACATATATGAAATTTAGAAACCTGCAAATTTATGATATTAGAAGTATGGCTAGTACCTTGTGAGATGGCAGGAGCTAAGGGAGGGGCTTCTAATGTTCTGTTTCTTGTTTAGGTATTGGCTATATTGAATATTCACTAAGTTACATACTAAATCATATGTACTTTTTATTGATGTGGTACTTAAAATATATGTCACGAGGGATATGAATTTTGTTGTGCTTCTTTACAGTGTTAAGGCACACTTTTTTTTCTTAAAGATTTATTTATTTGAAAGAAGTGACAGGGTGGAGGTGGGGAGAGAGAGACCCCCGAGACTTTCCATCTGCTAGTTCACTCCTCAAATGGCTACCACAGCCAGGTCTGGACCAGGCCAAAACAGAGCAGGAAACTCCATCATGGTGTTCCACCTGGGTGGCAGGGACTCAATGTGGGTGTACTCTGCTGCCTTCTTCTGCACTTTAGCAAGAAGCTGGATCTGAAGTGAAGCAGCCTAGACTCCAAATCAGCACTCTGATATGGAAAGCCAATGTTGTAAGTGGCTCCCTAACCTGCTGTGCCACAACACTAGTGTCAAGGCAGATCTTTGTAAGTATCAGACAGTGTAACTTCCCTTAGACTGATATTTATGTGGGCTAGTCTTTGCCCTAGGTAATTGTTCTAATCATTTTTATCCAGATCTGTTGTGAACACTTTTGGATGAAGACACACACACACACGATTTGTTGACTTCTTTGATTTTGCCAAGTACTAGCTTGATTTTATAAACAATTATTGTCTTTTAGGTTGTGATAAATTGTGCCATTCCTAAAGGGTTGAAGTACAATCAAGCTACACAGACCTTCCACCAGTGGCGAGATGCTAGACAGGTGTATGGTCTCAACTTTGGCAGCAAAGAGGATGCCAATGTCTTCGCAAGTGCCATGATGCATGCCTTAGAAGTATTAAATTCACAAGAAACAGGTAAAGTGTCCACGGTTTACTTGTATTCTTGAAGTGAAGTGCCATGTATATGTTAAAGCAAATTATTTGACCAATTTGTAAATCATTATATATTTAAAGTGAGTTTTGAATTTATTTTCTACAAAAATATGAACTTCTCTTTGTTGATAATGAGCGTGTAGTCTAAAAGGATGATTCTATGAGTTTAGTTAGTGTAGTAATTTTTGTTTCTATCATTTGAAGTTATTTGATTGTATTCTTCCTGCTCTAGAAACTCAAATTTTGTTATAAGGATAGGAATTGGAGATATTTATTCTCATTTTATGAAGAAACACATTTTTCAAGCCATTACTGAGCCCAAGGTCTTCAAGCAGGACTCCATCTCTTCCCTAGTACATAAAAATTTGATTCTAAAAGTTGTTAGACGATTTTAGGAGCTCCCTCAGGTGGCATGAGCCATGAATTGCCTTTCCGACACTTCCTGTTCATTACAGATATAGAAATAATTTACTTTAAACAAGCAAACCAGCATTTAAACTATATATGTGTCAGGGATAAGTTCAGTTTTGCCTTGGTTTAGAAGATAGGAAACACATCTATGTGTGGTTATTTCTTTGAAGATACAGATTTTATAACCAGAAAATAAATGTTACATAAAAATTATATCAGTAATGCAAATACAGTTGGCTTTGCCTGTATTGTGCATTGTATAATGATTTTAATGATACATGTGCTGTTAAAAAAGTTTATTAATATATTTTAAGATGAAAAACTTAAAGTTAGATGAAAATTTGACATTTTATTGATGGTATAGAATTTAAAAATCTGGTATAAAGTATGTTAAATTATATTTATATTCTGTCCTACACTAAAAAGAATTGAACCATCTAGCTCATGTATTAGTCTGTGTCAAATATGAATGTCAGAGCAAGAAGACATTTTGGTCTCCTGCAGAAACTTATGCTGTTAGTTCTATAGATATTTTCTATTAGATCTTTTTTGAGATCTAAGTAAGTGCCATGATGAGATCTATAAGTAACTTGTATATGGTTTTCATATTTAATATCTTTTGAAAAAGTAAGCCATTGGGACTTCTGGTTTGTCTATGTAAGTCTAGAAAATAGCATAGGAAAATCTGTACAATCTTGAATGTAGATATCTAAGTCACTGTGTTTTTCTAGAGGGTATACATATTATATTGACATTCTATTTTAAGTATACAACTTCTTTTCACCTTAGTTTTACCATAGGGAAAAACTAGAATTGTGGTTCTTAAAATCTTATTAAATAAATGAATTACATCACAAATAAGGAACCACATTTTGGCAAAAATGACATTTGTCTTCCCTGTGTTTGGAGCAAACTATCAATATTTTTATTTTTATACCTTCAAAGGAATATCCAGTGATACTTGAAACTGAATATTACTTTAAAGTAATTAAACTTACTGTTCATCTTCTCAATTTTTTAATCTAAAGGATAGTTTTTGTCAGGGAATAGTCATATAGTTAAGCATTTATGAATTCATTTTTTTTCCTTCTGATCTTAATCTTTTGACATTGGGTCTTAATGTGGAATTGCATTCTCTGTTGTAAAGTAATGAGCATTAAGATGTATTGTTCCACATTACAGGAAGTTTGGTAAATAGGAAAATCATTCATCAATCCACTAGCTACACTAACATTTCAGGTTCTATTTTCTTTTGTCTGCCACCTCAATGGTAATTGTCTGGGGAAGGAGAGAATGGTGAATATAGTTGGTCCATCTTATCTATCACCTGGCACTGGAAACCCAAGTCACTGGCAGAGAAATTTTTGCATCTGTGTATTTTTCTTCAGCGAAAACAAAGCATTAAAATGGTGTATGTAAATAGATTTATTTAGGAAATGATTATTTTCATAAATTACTGTGGTTAAATACTAATTTCTGATTGTTGATGGCGTTAGTTGAAAGTGGAAGCTCGGAAGGAGGTAGATGTTAGGATTCAGGAATACCTGCAGGAAAGGGTGTAATTTCTTGCGCAGATCACTAATGTAGGGTAGGTGTACTCTCTCCCTATATTACTATGTGGGCCCCTCCCATCCACCTAGACAAACATTCCCAATAATGTCAGCTCTCAGCTTGACCATATCTCCCCCTGCCAAAACTGTTGGCTGTGAACCCACAGCCAGTTTCCTGCTGAAACCATCTACTGTCTTTCTGCCAAAATCAAGTCAAGAAAGCTTTTGTGTCCACTTCCATCAGCAAACATTAGCTTAACAAAATTCATGAAGGTAAAGCAACTACATAGATTAGATCTTGCCTGTTTCTTACTGTTTTACCACTCTTTGAAACAATTTTTCTTCATTGAACTTAACGCATTTTTTTTATTCAACAGTAATGTCAGTATTGTGCATTGTCACTAATCATTTTGGGTGATTTTTGGATTTTAAGGTTGGAGATGATTTTCAAACAAAATCTTTTGCAGAAGTTCAGTATGTAAATGACAAAAAGAAAAAAATAAAAGCAGCTTTTTGGATTAATGTGGGTGTTGGGGCCCCACAGCCACTGACGCACCCATGTGATTCTTCAGAGCAGGGTTTGAAAATTACTAACCCATGTTTCTTGCCAACACCAGTAATCATGCAATTCTCTCTTCTTCTCCCCCCCAACCTGTGCCCAAATCCTCACATACATTTTTAAATTGAGAAAAAACAGCTTTCTTTGGGGGTAGTCACACTGACCTTTAGAAGGTGCTTGAATGTGTTTAATATTTCCAGTTTTTTATGAAAGAGTGGGTGGCAGGAATGTTTTCCCTTATTTTGTTTTTAACTTGGTGTGCAATTATCTAATATACTGGAAAGTACAGGAGGTGCTAAATACAGTGAGTTATATTTGGAATTTTTAAAAAACCCACAAATCACATGTTCTAACATTTTTGAAAAGAGTTGAATTAGGATTCTTCCTTTTGTACCAAATGCTACATTGTATCTATCTTCCTTTCTCCAACGGAAATGGACTAGATTTTAAATAAGGATATTCTCTGAACTGATGTTTGATGGTTGAATTATTTGTTTGTGGAGGTAAATTTGCATAATTGGTTTTATTTTATAAATTGTTTAATCACTTGACAATAGGAAATCATTTTTAAAATTCATTTTTTTAAAAATTAGGACAATTATTCTGATGCTTACATTCTATTTAGCTAAGATTAAATATACCTTGGAAACCCTCAAAGTATGTTAAGCATTACCTAAAAGACTACTTTTGCTTGATTTTATCTTTTGAAAGTGTCACTCCCCCTGTTCGTGGGAGGAACGACACAGGACCCTGCGCTGTTCTTTTGTCTGCTCGGCCCTTCCTGGGTTGGCTGCCGACCCTTCCACCTCTGTGGAAGGGCGGTTCCCCCTGCCACTTTCCCCACTTCCATGGGGGAGCGGCACACCGCCGGCCGGCTCTCTCGGGGGCTGCTCAGATGTTCCTTCAGATAGATATTCCTGGTGCATGTTGTCTCTCTCCTCCTTTATAGTCCTCTTCCACTAATCCCAACTCTGCTACCCACACGCCGAATACGCTGCTCTCCTCCAATCAGGAGCAGGATCAGCTCCTGCAGGTCGTCACTCAAGTTGGCGAGAGGCAGCTGCGTAGAAGTTGTTTACTCCCTTCTCAGCGCCATATTGTGGGAGAGCAGATGCATAGAATAAGTCTTAATTCCAGTAACTTAGTCTAGTCCGAGTTGCTCCCCACAGAAAGTAAGAACATAATCAAAGATACCCTCCTTCTGATTGAGATTTTCTAAAGGTTTCATAATAAATACTGATATCCCATTTATTTTTTTCCCTAATTTGGTCTGATAGACTTTCTAACATGAATATTTGCATGTTTTATACCAGCATTTTAAAATACCCTCCCTCTCTGCGCCAGCACGGCTCAACATTGATTGGATTAAAATTGAGGAAGTGAGTGGCTTCCAGGAATACTTGACATTTATAGTGACAGCTTTATTTTTCAGTCTTCCAGATCACTGATAATAATGACAGCAATAGTAAGCTTATGTTACAAAAACACCATCAAAGGGAGCATATTTTGAGCATAGGTACTTTGCTAGGCTTTGGAAATACTACTAACATGATAAAGCCTATCCCTTCCCTTCCAGGATCTCATAATTGGGCTGAAGCTTCTAGGTACAAAGCTAGCAAAATTAGGATACAGTTGGCGAATGAAGTATGAAGAAAAGCCTTTGGAGTACCAAAGAAAATTCAGTGGTCAGGGAAAGTTCTTGAAGGAGGAGGATGGTTGAACTATGTTCTGAAGAGTGAGTAGGCCTCCTCTCTTACAAAAGAACATTCTCAGTAAGTTTGGTGACTTAAGAGCAAGGAAAAGTTAGAGAATGACAAATAGGCCATGTGGTGGCATAGCAGGTAAAGCCCGCCACCTGCAGTGCTAGCATCCCATATGGACACCAGTTCGAGTCCCGGCTTATCTTCTGATCCAGCTCTCTGCTATGGCCTGGGAAAGCAGATTGTGTATAGGAAGAAATCCCAAAAGATGAGACTGGAAGGGTTGAGAAGGGCTTGGTGTCTTTCTGAAGAGTGTGCATTTATCATGTAGGCAGTAGACCATTGTAGGATGCTAAATCCATGTTTGATATGAAGAGGTTTGCTTTTTTTAGGACAAGTATGAAGTGGTGAGCCTGTGGTTACAAGTGTGAAGATCAGTTTAAGACACTGCTGTGCTTCTGGAGCCCTGTTTGATTCCTACTGTTGTCATGCCAATGTTCCTAGGCAAGTGAGCTTCAGCCTTCTTCAGAAAAGGGGAGTTGGCACAACTGTGCCCCTAGGTCCTGTCCCCACCACCACTCCCAACCTCTCACAGGTTGGGACACAGCTAAACCCTCCCCTGTAGAGAGATGTTCCCAACAGAGACACGTATACTTTGCATTTATAGTCATGTACCATGCACAGCATTTTTCATAAGCTATATAGAAAATAGTGCCTGTGATCTGTGTTTTATAGTGCTGTCATGCGGAAGTGAGGCAGGGT